ATAGTGTCCCAGATGAGTGTTACGTTTGCGCATTAAGGGTTCGCAATCGGTTAGGATGTGTAGAGGCGTTTCTTCCGTTATGGAACAGAACCGACACATCCTTGAGTTGCTTAGTCCCAGGATGGACATGTGCTTTTTAAGACAACAGTGTCCAGTTGGGGCTCTTGCCAGAATACGCAATTTATTTTTACTTATCCCAGGGATTCTGAAGCGAATTTACGATCAAAGGCCCGGATTAAGGTTTTAGAATGTTTTAAGCCTGGTGTGTCAGACCAGATCTTAAGTGATTTATTGTGATAAAGAGTTTCAAGGGTCAATCGGGCTAGGCTTCTTGAGATTCCACAAAATGGCTCGGGTCCAGATTGTGTGCACTTTGAGCCCTGCCTTGCAAGTTTGTCGGCAAATTCTTTGCCTACAATACCCTCGTGACCCGGAATCCATCTTAAAACAACCCTGTTGTTACAACCCAGGGCGTTTAAACGGTTCACGCAGTCTTCAACTAGCTTTGAGTTCACTAAGTTTGATCTCAGTGCTGCTTGACTATCAGAGTTTATGTAAATTTTATGGTTGACGTAGTGTATTTCCAGATTGATTTCCGCACACCGAAGTATGGCGAAAATTTCTGCCTGGAAGATGGAAGGTGTGTCTACCCAAATTCATACTAAGTTTGAATTTGAGGCGTTCCCCGTAAATTCCAAAGCCTACGTCGAGGCCCATTTTAGATCCATCGGTATACCATATGAGGCTCCCCTCACAGATAACCTGGCCATTCAGCCAGTCTTCTCTGGAGGGTAATTCCACTATATACTTTTTATCAAAAGTGTATAGTGTACGCATAAGACCGGTGATTCCTTAATTGAGTCGAGCATGGATCTCAATCAGTAGGAGAGCAAGCTCAGACTGCCCTGGGCGTTAGTCCTATACAAACTAGCCCCCGCCTCCTTGTCTAGATAGAGAGCAAGGGGCGTTAGGCATAGAAGTGCATTAAGAGCCGCTCCAGGCGATGATCGCATAGCTCCAGTTGCCATTAGGCAGGCAGACCTTTGTAGACTATTTAGTCTGTCCGCAGTCGTCTTTTGGTTGGCCTTGTTACACCAGACAATAGAGGCGTAAGTGAGCATCGGCCTCACTGTACTGCTGTATAGCCATAGGACCATACTGGGACCCAAGCCCCAGTTGTTCCCGACCACGTACCTAAAGCAATTTTTGCCTTATGGCATACGTTGCTAAGGTGAGAGTTCCACGTTAGTTTTTGGTCGATTGTTACGCCCAAGTATAATTGCCGACATAAGTCGTGAGCACACTTTTTATTGGTCGATACGACGTTGAGCACGCTGACGTTCAACGTGATTGGTTCATCAGTCGATTCTCGTCGTCTATTGGTTTCGAACGTATCATTCGGTTCCGTATACTTCAGAGCAATAATTTTAGTGATAACTTTTTTAATTAGTTTATTTTCTTTAATTGTTTTTGTTACCTCATTGTTAATTGTTGTTTGTGTATTCCTTGTTTTTGTTATTTCTAGTTTTTAATTATTTTTGTTGTTATAATTTGAGTGTTCAGATTTTGGTCTAAATATGCAGAGAAGGAAGAATTCTGTGTTAAATAGACACTCCCGACAAATGGTCTATTCAGTGTTTAGTTACATGAAAAAATTGGGTACTGCGAAAAACATCATAGACGTATATAAACAGACTGCTGAGGTGACTAATGTCTCAGTAGCTACTGTACGGTGCACCGCAACACCAGATTTTATGGAAGGCATATCACCTCTTCCTTCTTCTTAATAAAATAATCAAGTCTAACCACCAGGTATACATTAAATACTTTATAGTAGATAATAAAATAACGGACACGAATATCTGCAACATTACTGTATCAAAGTAAAAGTTGATGTGTTCGAGTAAACATTTTCATAAAAGTCGGCGAAAATATTCAATTACGAATTGAAATAATAAAGGTACCCAATAATTTTGCCCGACAGTGTACCTACCTCCTACCACAGTTTATCTGTGCTCACGACTCGTGGCAACATACTAACGGAAGTACCCATAAGGTCCAACCGTCTCTTTTTGGTAAAGGGTATTATAACAGTTTTATCAGCATTAACTGATAAACTGTTATCCCTACACCAGTTATTTATGGTGTTTAGGGCTCTTTGTATTATTGATGATAAAGTACTTTGGCAAAAGCCCCTCGCAATGATCACAAGGTCATCAGCATAACCCAATGTGTCAATGCGTAGGTCTGCCATTTTGCACAATAGTTGGTCAACCGCAAGAGTCCAAAGAAGGGGTGACAAAACACCTCCTTGTGGGCAGCCTCTTGTGGTTGCAATCTCAATCGAAGTTTGAAACAGCGCTATTTTTGCCTTTCTGTTTGAGAGCATCGATTTCACCCATCTGATGGTTGTGGGGTCAACATTTTTAGATGTTAGGCCCCCAATCAGCAGTGATGTGGGGCTATTGTCTAAGGCGCCCTCAATATCTAGAAAGGCACAAAGAGCTATTTCTTTATCCTCCATTGCTTTTTCGACCCTGTCAATGACACTTATCAGGGCTGTTTCCATAGATTTGCTTCTGCGGTAAGCATGCTGGTTGTAATGTACGGGCTGTAGCTAAGGCTACATCCCTTATATATCTATCTATAACCTTTTCCAATGTCTTTAGAAGAAAGGAAGATGGGCTTATAGGTCTAAAGGACTTTGGTAAAGCGTAGTCCTTTCTCCCAGCCTTAGGTATAAATAGAACCTTAACAATTGTCCATCGTTATGGAATATATCCCCATGCAAAACTTGCTCTGAAGATTTTCACCAGATAAGGAAGAAGGATGTCGATACCCCTCTGTAGTTGGATGGGAATTATTCCATCCTCCCCGCTTGATTTAAATGGTTCAAAGGAGTCAACAGCCCACTGCACCAGGTTTGGCCTTATTATCTTTGCAGCCCTACGCCAGTCCTCATTGCAAGGTCTTCGTAGGGCTCTGAAAGAGTTCAAGGCTAAAGTCTTGTATGACCCTGATAAATGGGTTGACGCTAGTAACTCCAATGTTTCTATTTCACTATTAGTGAAGTTACCATCCGGCTTTTTAAGAAGCCCGATCTGATTAGGTTTAGCTTTCGATAGCATCTTGTGTAGTCTTGCACTGCGAGGCAAAGACTCAACTTCCTCGCATAGCTTCCTCCACGATGTTCTCTTGGCTTTCCTGATTTCTTTATTATATTCAGTTAGGGCTGCACTATAAATATCCCACCTTTGGTTTTCTTAGCCCTATTAAATAGTTTCCTGGTCTTTTTCCTAAGGTCCTTCGGTACTCATACCGGTAAGTTCTGGGCGGCCCCTTACTACATCGAATGACGACCTAGTTAGAGATGTAGGAAGTGCATCCAACAGGTGGATCAGGACCGAGCTTGGTGGCATTCCTTTAGGGAGACCTACGTCCAACAGTGGACTGGTGAAAGGCTGTAATGATGAGTGATTATGAATATGAGATAGTTTTTTTGTCCACAGTGTTGACTGGGTTTGTGGATTCGGTTGGTGGATTGAACGGCTCGATCACATTAATCATGAGTGTGAGTAGCCAACTAATTAACTAGTGTACATATATAAAAGGTGACATAATAGATTTGATGTTTTAATTACTTTATAATAATAAAACAAATTACGAATGCAATAATTAAAAGAAAACTACTTTAACAACAACATGGTAATACAATAAAAGTACATCGGAAGATATCGCATATATAAAAAAATTATAGGTGTCGTATGATACTAATTGCGTGCTTGTGTTTTCTTGTAGCATATACTATATCTCCATCCAGTAGTCTCTGAGGATTAAAAAAAAACCTATGTGACTCTACAAGTGATCCAATTTTCCTAATTTAAGTACGGAGCAGTACTAATGATGATTATTCATGATATTGTTGCGCGCCACAGTTGATGGCACTAGCGCCATCTGGTATCAAGTATCAGAAACAGAAGTGTCAAATCTTTCCTCTCCCAAAAGCGCCATCTATTAACAAATGGAAGAATTAAGCTTTCTAGAAGCCCCACACTCGAACATTCTGTGCCTGGTCGGTCCACGCCCGTATTTACTGGAATATTCTGGATGTTTTGGTGGAAGAGCCCTATATAAAGTGGTTGATAGCCGTGATCGGGGCAGTATTGAATTGGCGACACAAGCGAAGGCTTCGGAGTGAAATAAAGTGAACTAAAGTGTTGTGTGAATAATTATTGGTGTTTTTAAGTTTTAATTGGTGTTCGGTGATTAAAGTATTAATTTTGGTAATTCAATCGGCAGTTTTTATTGTCACGAACCCTAAGCTCGTAACAATTGGTGTCAGAAGTGGGATAAAATCGTGCCGATTTTACCTAAGGAGGAAACGGAGGGTGTCCGTACCCGAAGTCAACGGCAGTAGAAGACGGACCAGAGAAGATTTGGTGGTGCAACGCCGCAAACGCCGGTGGGCCAACTGCCAGCCACGGAGGCTGGCCCGTCAGCAGCTCCTACACCTGCAGCACCTGACTTAGGTGCTCTCATGATGATGCTGCAGGAACAGGCCCGCCGACAGGAGGAACAGGCCCGTTGGTTGAAAGAGCAGCAGGAGGAATAGGCCCGCCATTAGGCGGAACAGGCACGACGATTAGAAGAGCAGCTGCAGCGAGGACGACAGGAACAGGCCCGTCAGTTGATAGAGCAGCAGGAGGAACAGGCTCGCCGACAGGAGGAACAGGTCCGTCGGTTGGAAGAGCAGCTGCAGCGCGGACAGGAGGAACAGACCCGTCGATTGGAAGATCAGCAGGCGGAACAGGCTCGTCGGTCGGAAGATCAGATGCTCCTCATGAAGGACCTTCACGCTACCTTTGGGAAAGAGATAAGGGAGGTGAAGGATAGGGTTGCTCATCTAGCATGGACTATCGGAACTTTTTTCCAATACCGGTTTTATTTCGATATAAAATTTTTTAATACCGATATTCCGGTATTTCGATATTTTTCCGATATTATGGCTAAAAAAAAGAGATCAAATTTGTTTAAATTAAACGTTGTTAGAGTCCAAATTAGAAATAAGACACTAATAAAAAGTAAATCAACGACTTTTATTATTGCAATCTTATATAATAATTAGAATTTAAAAAGTATGAAACACAAAAATAAACAATTTCTTAACATACTCTGCTATGTTATAAAATTAAAAAAATAACACAAGTTAAAATAAGTAATTGAGTAACATAATATAAAAGTAAATATTACATTAAACGCAAATAACTGGATATTAAATTGATGGGGTGACTATATAGTCATCTTACAACATATGGCTTCAAAAACGAAGCCTACGGCAATTCACGAGATCGCGATTGCTGAAATATGGAACGTAAGTAGCAGAGGGCATCCAAGGTATTGTTTTTGAGAGACGATCTTATTTTGTTGCACGTATATGCCGCAGACGAGAACGCTCTTTCAGACTCTACACTCGTGGGGGGTATCGTCAGTAAATGTCTGTACGCCATGTCTAAATAGAACCCGCGGTTGCCACCATTTTCAAACAATGCCATTTCAATTTGAATTAACTTATGCTTATCATTTTCACCATAACCACCATCTCTGTTAGCTTCATCTTCTGTTTCATTTCTATTTCGCATATTTGTATTTTTCTCCTTCAATGATTTTTCAATTTCTTTATTTAGTTCTTTAGCAAAATCAACGCTTTCGAAATCTCCACTCACACTGCTCTCGCTATTATCCAAGTTCAAATCATCCATAACCCCAACCACAGGTTTATCTTCAAAATTTTGAGTTAGTGAATAAATTTCCTCCACCATTTCTGGGGTTTTTGGGAACTCGGCGGTAGGAACTTCACTGAAATATGTTTCAGGATTTTGGAGATACTGCAAAGTAGATGCAATAGAAAGTCGTCTTTGGGAAATGCGCACGAGCAATGATCTTGCGAGAAGTCTTGACAGTGTAGAATTTTGACTATCTAATTTACGTAGCATAAATTTCATAGCCGCATTAGAAGTTAATAGAGTTGCATCACGCCGGCACAGTGCTTCGACTGTCACTTTGATAATATTCAGACTTTTCTGGAAATTGTCCAAAGTATGAAACTCGCTCTGTGTGAATTTGATATCAGAGTTCATGTCAATCAGTGCTTTGGATACACATGATCTTAACCTATTGAATCTATCCACCATAGTGGAGATGCTTCCCCAACGGAGTTCTTTTCCCGTATCCTGTTTTACATGTTTCTGTAGAAACATGTCATTCTTCACTGGAGAATTTTTGAAAATTTTGACTACTACACGTACTTTACTGATGACACTTTTATAGTCATTATTAAGCTCGTTTCAGTTTGACACCACCGGTATTACTTCAAATCCCCCGGTTTCGTCTTCAGCACTATCTGCGTCGTTCTCGAATTCGGAGTCACTTTCACTTCCACCAGCAGTAACAGCAGTATCAGGGGATCGCACATTTTCCGCACCGCCTTGCTTATATAATACGTCAAGTACAGCTAGCTGAATACCGTGTGCAAGGCAGACTTGATGATAAGCGCGCAGGTTTCTTCCAACTTTTAACATGACGCTGGCGCCATCAGTGACTATTGCGACTATATCTCTATCTAAAGAAAGCTCAAATTCTGAAAGCTTTTCTTTCAAAAGTCTGATACACGTCTCAGATGGCATTGAACCATCCATTCGCACCAAACCCAGATTTTTGTAATGTGAGCCATCTGTGAACTCAACTCCTATATGAATGTTGATATTCATATATCTGGCGTTACGAGATGATGTCCACTCATCAAAACTCAAAGAAAACTTTTTACCAAGGGCTAATAGATTTTTCAGTTCAGCCACCAGTTTTTTCTTTTCCTGTTTACTATAGTTTATGACTATATTTTTATACCTTTTGGAGTCTTCGGTAATTTATTGTAGCCAGAATTTGTAAACAGTCTTCGCAGATCCTCAGAAGTACAAAATACACTGAATGGTATTCCGTCTAAAGCTGCCATTCTACTGACGGTTGTTTCAAGGGAGTGATTACTTTGAAAATTATCAGTCAATTTCCTTTTTTTACCATCGATGAGGACGCTGAACAAGATTCGCCTTTTGATTTTGACACAGTAGTCATAATGCTTGGAGAAGCAGATGTAGATGGTCGGTTTATGCTACTGTCATTAGTTTCTTCATTGTCAGACTTTGAATTAACGTTACTAACGTCTATTGTATGCGACGATTTTAAATGAGCGCGAATACCAGTTGTTGTGCCGCCGTGAGATCGTATTATTTTTTGGCATAAATTGCATTTGCCTGACTGACCATCTTCTGCTCGGAGAAAGTAGTGCCAAACTGAAGTTTTATCATCACACTTTTTTTCGAATTTTTCATACTTCAAATTTTTACAAGTGAATTTGTTTGTTCAAGGAAGCCGAAAGCCTGTAACAAAACAATTTTGACTAAATAACTTTGAACAACTAAAGTTCAAATTTTGTACATTTGCGAACTCATTTTAAAATTGAAACCTATAACAGTACATTGTAATACAAGGGGCTAAAATGACCCATTATAGACGAGGTAGTAAATAGGAACCGAGTTAAATCCTTTTTTTCCCAAGGGCATAATATGCAATTTTACGCCCGCTCTGGTACGCTATTATGACGGCCTTTTCGAGAAAGAGGAGTGAAAAATATATTATTACTTGTAAATTTATCTTTAACATAATCTAAAGGTTCAAATCAAAAGTAATAATAAAAGAAACAATAACATTTTAATAAAGTAGCCCGTTAAAATGTAATAAAAATCATAAATGTAATGCTCGTTATTTGTATGTACACTTACACACTTTGTTTTCCGACGAGTGAATGAAGTAAAACCATCACAAAAACAACACAACTTTGCAATGCACACTGCTGCTTTTTGACATAAAAATATGAAATGCGCTGAATGAGTGACACCGAACGTCGAGCGCAACTATCTGGTCGAACCGGGCGCTGTGATTGGTCGAGCGAGGTGGAGCGAGCTACCCGACCCCCGAGCCACCCGTGCCCCGCCGCCCTCCGGCGACCAAAGTGTTGTATATGTCACTGTAAAATTTGATGAAAAATATCCGATTTTTGGTCCGATAATCCGGTTTTTCGATGTTATCGAAAACCGGTATCCATGCTCTAGTTGCTCAACATGACAACCGCCTATCGGAAGCTAAAACCCGAATCGAGGAACGTGAAATCCGAATCAACCATGTGAACAATCGGGTTGACAACGTGATGGCTGCCGTGAAAAAAAACGCTGAACGACCTCAAACTTGGGGATGGAACTACAGCTCCCGTAGTAGCTACAACACCTTCACTACGTGGATTCAAAGTGCCGCCGTTCGACGGGACTTCATCCTGGTCGGCCTACAAAATCCAGGTCGAGGCCGTCATGGAGGCGAACGACTGGAATAAGAGCCAGGCCATGACTGCACTCACCCTAGGCCTGCGCGCCCAAGCCTTAACTGAGTTGGAAGCTCTCGGTAATAAAGTGACCTATGAGCAGCTCCTTGTGACATTGTCGGCGAGATATGGCGACGCTCACCTGGAACACGTCTTTCGCGCGCAGCTTAAAGATCGCGTGCAACGCAGCAACGAAAACCTGCAGCAGTGGGCTCTTGAGGTGGAGAAGATGGTTCGAAAAGCATACCAGTCTGTACCTGCGCTCATTGAAGGAAACCTGGTGCAGATATTCACCGACGGCATCCGCAACCTTGAAGTTAAAGCTGATGTGAGGCTCGGGCACCACGAGACGCTTAAGGACGCCTCGGCCCATGCACTGGAGGTGGAAGCCGTGCGGCCGGATCTTCGCTCCCATTGCGTCAGAGAGGTTGCGGCAGATACAGCCCTAGGTGATATGGCTGTGGGGAAAGGGGCCATCTTCGATATAAGCTAATTTATCTGTAGTAAGGGAAGTTGATCGATCTCGGGAGGGTAGTGCAGCTAACGGCACCGCCTCGCGGCGGCAGGATTATCGTTCCCCTCACGTTAGGAAGGTTGCAGCAGTTACGGTTCGCGACCACAAAAAAAATTACAGCCCAAGGTGCTACAGCTGCCCTAAGTGATCTGTAAAAAGGGAAGGTGATCGATCTCGAGAGGGTTGTGCAGCTAACAGCACCACCCAGCAGCAGGAATACGACTTTGTGATCGGACACTGCAGAGGGAAATTGCATGGCAACACAGATGCGTTATAAAAAGACCTCATCCTGATGATTGCGAGAACAGTACTAGGCAAGAGGGTAATGAAGTGGTATCCGTGAGGATGCTCAGGGCAGACCACCTCAGCAACGAGTGGAAGGACCGCTTACAATATGCACAGCAGGAAGATCCGGACATCAAGCCGATTCTGGAATGGATGAAGGCCCGTGCTCCCAAGCCCAAGTGGTGCGACGTCTCAGCGATGAGTTCGACCACTAAAAGCTAATGGGCGCAATGGGACAGCTTGCTGATTCAGGATGGAATCCTGTGCCCTAAATGGGAAAATGGTCGAGGAGACAGCTGTCGTTTGCAAATGTTTGTCCGTTGTGCCGGATGTTCTACAGCTGTACCATAACGGTTATTCAGGAGTCTACCTGGGAGTTAAACGAACTCTACTGAAGTACCGCGAACAGTTTTACTGGGTCCATTATCGTGACGATGTCGAGGATTGGTGTCGCACATGTACAAGTTGTGTGCTTTTGAAGGGACCTCAGACTCGTAGTAGAGGAGCATTGAAATTGTACAATATTGGTGCACCATGGGATAGGACAGCCCTTGACGTTAGGGATCCGTTACAGAAAGGCACAAGAGGGACTACTAAGATCGTCCATGTGGATCGCCTGGCACGTTATTATGGGGCCGATAATGCTCGGGACGAGCATGTCTTAGGAGGGGGCAGTGTTGCGCGTGTTGATGGCACTAGCGCCATCTGGTATCAAGTGTCAGAAACAGAAGTGTCAAATCTTTCTGGAACTCTTTCAACAGCACTATCTAGTAACTAATGGAAGAATAAGCTTTCTAGAAGCCCCACACTCGAACTTTCTGAGCCTGGTCGGTCAGCGTCCTTATTTGCTGGAATATACTGGATGTTTCGTTTTTTTTTTTTTTTTTGCGCCCGAAGCAACTAAGGGCTACCCTATACGTAGGGAGGCGGAAAATGCATTACGCATACCACGATAGCCGGTCTATCGTGGTTATGGGGGACTCACTGTCCTACCGGGGACCCTAAGTGATACCCCCTAAAAACCGCCTTTGGGGACAGGCAACCGGCTGATTAAGCTCTATTGTGCCTTATCATGAGCGACCCTCTTTTGGGAAAAGAGGGCGCAGGCGGCTAAGTGTCGCTGAGGGAGTGCCTACGAAGGCAAGTTAATGTTAGATATTACAATAATTTTGTTTAATTAGAGTTGGCCTGAGCTGCCAGGAGACAGTTCAGGTCGTTTGAAAGTTTATTAGGCGGGTCCGAGAGAGAGTTTCTCGGCCTGCGGACACGATAGCGAGAGGGGGGGTGGGGCTGCATAAGAAGCTGCCTCACGAATTAAGTGGTTTGAGTGCGACTCTGAGGCTTTGAAGAAGTTCTCAGAGAGTTTTTTAAGAAATTGTTGAATTGTTGGGAGCTCTAAGTCCCGATGAAGGTCGGCATTGCGGACGTACCACGGTGCGTTCGCTGCTCGACGACAGAATAGGTTCTGAACTATTTGGAGTTCATTTAAAATGTTAGGGTTTGCGTGGGCAAAGACGGGGCCCGCGTAGGACATGACTGGTCGTATACATACCTTGTAGAGTGTACGCTTGTTTCGAAGGGACATTTTACTGTGTCGGCCCAACATACTGTTGAGCCTACTCAGATAGAATCGTGCGTGACGGGTTACTCTTTTGACGTGGGGCTTGAAAGTGAGCCCTGTGTCTAGAGTGACACCTAAATATTTGGCGGACGTATGCCAGGGCAAAGGGTCCCTAGCATACGTATTGGTGGAGTGTTTTTGAGACGGCGTCGTTTATAATCGAAGTGGACGGCGGAGCTCTTCTCCGGGTTCACATCGATGCGCCATTTTTTGAACCAAGCTCCTAGGTCATCAACTGACTTTTGGATCTTGTTCCGTATAAGGGGTAGTGAGACACCTTTGCAGTAGATGGCAGTGTCATCTGCAAAGAGGGAGAGTTGAACACCTTTCGACGGGATGGGAATGTCGTTGGTGAATAGGATGTACAGCAGAGGAGCAAGTACTGAGCCCTGGGGGACACCAGCCTTGATAGTTCGCTGTGAAGAGAGCGTGCCTTCGTGTCTGAAACGAAAGGTACGATGTTTTAAATAGGAGGCCACGAGACGAACTAGACGATCGGGGAGACCTATTTTATAGAGCTTGTAGATAAGGCCTGTGTGCCAGACTCTATCGAATGCTTTGGCTATATCGAAAAAGACCGCGATGGTCTTATGACGACGAGGATAGAAACCGCTGAGGATATATTCCACAATGCGGTGAACTTGTTGGGGACATGAGTGTTTGGCTCGGAAGCCGAATTGATGGGGAATGATAAGAGGGTCGCCGTCTGTGGGAAACAGGTAGCGCCTCATTCGACTTTGGATGACTCTTTCGAAGAGCTTGCCCATTGCCTTGAGGAGGCTAATGGGGCGATGGCTGTAGGGGAGGTTGAGAGGCTTGCCTGGCTTTGGAATTCCAATCACAGTAGCCTCTTTCCACGTAGTGGGAAAATAACTAAGGTTGAAGCAGGCGTTGAAGATAATAGATAAAAAGGTTAACA